GTGTGCCTGTCTCCGTGCGAGTGTCTCTTTGCTCAACTGCACAGGTGCAACGGAGTGGGGAGTTGAGATGGATGGGGATGGAGGCAGCTGTCTCTGCTTAACTGCCCCACGACCAATGGAGATGAGCCGGGGGGGGGCAGGCAGGAGATGTAGTGTGGGGGCTGGGTCAGCCACTCAACACCTGCTGGGACTTTGATCTGAATTCGCCTTCTCTCATCCACCCTCGTCTGTTTGCTTATTTTCTGGGGGACGCGACCTGGACCCGCGCCGTAGATCCGAAATTTGCGGTGTCATGAGCCACACCCCACAGGGCCACGTGCCACGTGCGCCGTAGGGTGCAGTGTAACCTCAGGTCGATTCCTGCCCCCCGTCACCAATGACTGCACGCACATTAAAAAGCAAAAATCACGTTAAATGTGGTTCTACTGTGTCGGTAGCTCTGCTCCATAGAGCTCTGGGATACATTCAGCTCACTCGAAAAGATCTCATAAATAGCTCCGTGATATCCACTCCTGTGGGCCGTTGTATAAAACGAGGCTTAGAACTGCTCTGCGACAGTTCCGAATTGAATCTTCGCCTCGGTGGCGCGACACCCGGGACCAACGTTTGGGGGAAAAAAAATCAAATAAAAATTGCGGCGCCACAAGCTCAGCTCCTCTGAGTCATGTGCGCCTTCGCAAAGACTAATCTGCACGCGAGCAATTCCCCTGGGCAAGCCGGCATTCTTGACGGTTCACTCTTTGTTGTTGTTGTTGAAAAGAAACAAAAACCTATTTTCGAACATACACCACTAAATAGCACTTTGTGTGTTTTATGCGCCGATTTGGGGTGGATTGGTGGGGGGTTCGAGGCGATTACGCTCAGCGATGCGCAGTGAAGCGCGCGGGAGGGGCGGTTGATGTGCGCTGAGATGCCCACACAAGCTTGGCTCTTTCGAGACGGAGTTGTTGGTGGAGGCGTGGAGCGTGGGGGGAGAGAGAGAGAAAGGACTGACAGGGGAGCAGCAGCAGCAACAGCGGAAATAACGGCAGTGGCAGCAGCAGCAGCCGAAATATCAGAAGCGGCAGCAACTTGGACAGCAGCAGCAGTAGCAGCAGCAATGTCACAAGTAGCAGCAACCTCAGAAACAGCAGCAAAAATCTACAGCAACGGCAATGATAATGCCATTGAATCCTCGGAAGCCTTACCGAGTCTCACGACTGGAATTTTCCCCAATTAATTAGTTTCCCTTCACGTGGGAAAAACCCGGAATATCCAGAGAAAACATACTACGTGTAATGTGGTGGTATAGCTCCGAAGCTCCGCACAGATAGATTCAAGAACATAACGCTTTGTGGTTCTGCCATCTGACCAGCGAGCAGCCAATAGCAGCAGCGGCGGCTTGATGAAAGCAGTCCATGCCAGCACGTGGGAGGGGTGGTGGTGGAGGGCAATCCGGAGAGATGGCAGCAGTCGTCTATGTTGCTAAACATCAAGGAAAACACGAACCACAGACACACACCTGTTGCATCGGCATACCTGTCAGCCCCTTATCAGTGGCTATCTTATTACAGACCAATTCAGACCATTATTGGGCAACCCGTGCCCTTATACATCTCAACGGTTCATCATGCATCGGAGAAACACGAACAGATAGACAAAAACATTATTTTTGCCCGTATTGAAACGGCTGTACGCCGTATGGACCTAAAAACTAAATTTCCCTGCACAAGCATACGGGGTAAACCGTATGGGTTGACGGCTCTGCATCAAGACACCGGGGATCATCCGCATGCCTCTCCTCCGCGCGCAGCGACGTGGTGCCTCCGTTCCGGATCGTGACCCCAACACTCAGATGCCAGTTTTAACACGTACGCTTTCGCGACCAACATCATCCATAATTGAAGGTGCTTTGGGTTAGATCACGTCAATATATCAATGTTGTCAGACCCCTGCTCGCCGAGCGTAAGCGGCTCCGACGAACGTCTCGTGGGGTCGACGTGCCACACCGCTTCCATCGTGCCATTGGTAACGCGAACGCACTTGGCCGCCTTGGGATGTGTGCCACAGCGTGGTCGCAGATATGGCCTTGGAACGGCGGCAGCTAGGATTTACATCTCCGTCTGCGTGGATGTCAGGGGTAGGATGGATATGGACGGTGGTAAAAGGGGCATGGAGAGTATTTCCCGTCAAAATGAAGGATGGTGGGTGGGTGGGTGGGCAGTGGAGCGGGAACAGTGGAAGAGTGGTGAAGCAGGCGAGGAGATAGAGGAGGGGGGTTGAGGGCATTCTGACGGGGAACGGATTCGGGCAAGTGTGGACTGGAGGAAAATAGAGCACGGACCTACTCCCCAACTTCATGTCTGCTCGTTTTCCGGATATATGCTATCCATGCAGCTGCGTGTATGTACACACGGAGCAGTCTCGCGAACAACGGTTACGCCAGGTTGCCTGATGTTCGAGACAAAAGAACGCTTCTGGCCTTTGAGTTACAGGTGGACGAGAAAGACGCAAGGCATTTTTATGGCAGGATATAGAGTAAGCAACTTGTAAGTTCCAAATCGTCATCATCATTAGCCACGATCTGTCCACTGCTGGATAAAGACCTCTCCAAGTGGATAATACTATATTCTAACGTCGGGTTATGCCTTTATATACGCCACTTCGTGCAGATGCGATTACACGATTATTTGTCATCCATCACGGCTACATTGTGTATCCATCAGGGGTGCAAAGTTTGAGCTTCCGCCTAGCGATTGGATTAAATATTATACATTTAACAACGTGCTAAATATAGCGACCATTAACAATGTCTACAAATCGACTCGAACACATGGCGCAGCTTAAAAATCGACGATGATCGATGCTTCGTTATACCCCTTAAATGCACACGCGCGCGCACACGTGACAAGCCGCGGGACAGAGAGACGAACGCGATCGCATCCAACCCCGCGAGCACCTCGAGAGTCTGCACAGCTTGCAGACTCATGCCCGCGGCATCTCTTCGCAGTGGTACCGGGGGTTCGCGTAATGACAGCTGCAAGCATGTGAACGCACGTCGCATCTTTGCTGCACCCCCCACAAGCCTTCACAGACTCGTTGGGGGCGAGTGCTGTTAGCGAGCACCGACGAAGGCTGGGACGGCACACGACGTCTTAGGTGGCCAGCACTACGCCCGGCCGCCTTTGTCTCCCTTGTGGCGATGTTTAAATACCGTACCAGGTACTCATTTGAGGCCGAGTCAACCTAGGAGAGCCTCAGGACCCGTTTAGATAATCGTCACTGGTGTTTCCCGTGAGCAGAAATCGAACTCGGGTCGCCGGGTTCGTAGCACGCTACTGCTCCCGATACGCACACCGCCTACCATGTACCACCGTACAAGTGATGAGCCGTGTGTGGCACGCTTTACACCACAGTCCTGCGGCGACCGGCGGGAGAGATGGGGTCATCTTCGAGGCTAGTATTCATTAACCGCGCCACTACGTTGCCGTACACGCGCCCGAATCGTCTCCTGTGTCAAGCGGGGACGCCGAGGGACGACCGGAGGTCGGCCGCATCCGCCGGCTGTCGGTGTTTGTTCCGTGACCGCGGACGGATGGGCCGCGCTGCCCGGCATCGGGCCAGCAGTGGGCGTGGAGCTCGGGTCGCCGTCGGTGGCCTCCACCGGCTCCCACACGAAGACGTAGTAGGCGCTGAGGATTGATGGCCACGAAGGAGACGAGCAGCACGTACCCCAGCACCATCGCCACCCTCGCACACCTGCGCTTGGCTGTCACGGCCGCGCTGGTGCTCCTGCGTCCTGAGTAGGTGGGAGGCCTGCCCGCTCGTGAGCCAGCCAGACCCCACGCGTCGCTCGCCTCTCCATGGCTCAAAACGTTCACGCTTGGGACTTTTGAAGATTTCGAATCCACTCGCCTTTCTTGCCTCTCCTCCTTGGGGATGAGATCGTTGTCGGATTGTAGAGAAGTCCCGGTAGGTGGCTTTGGGTCACTGCAGCGCCTGGCTAGCGATCAGCCGACGATCTCAGTCTGGTCTGGCAGCGACGGATGAGACCTGGTGCTCAGGGCGGCACTGAGAACGTCCGTCAGTCGTCGCCCTACGCCACTACGGCCCTTAGCGTGCCGCTCTCGTGTGCCGAGGCTCTTAATCGATGGACTCGTGGCGAGATGGTAACGCACAACTCGCTCTCCCGTCCGCACCACTTACCCACTGGCGCCACTGCATGCGGATGGGCAGCCGGCAGACAGGCAGATGTACGTCGGTCATGCCCATCCGCTGGTGTCATAGCAAAAATGGATGGGCTGAACGCCCTTGCTGCTGGCTCCTGTTACAAAAGTGATTCCATTAGTGCCCCGACACGGTCGGCACTCGTGACCTCGCACCGTGGCACACGTGCAGAAGCCGCCGAGAGGAGCCATCAACCGAAACCCAAAGCTGTGCTGGTGCCGATTCCATGAAGGTTATCAATCAGTGCTCCATTTTTTTTGTCAATGTATATTCTACAAGAAGTGCATCATCCACCTTATGGATGACTCTATTGCGCCCGTAAATTAGAAACCTGCTCGCGAGAAAAAAAGCCTAGGCCAGCATGAAGACTCTTGTGCAAAGGACACAGACGTCTTTGGTTTGGAAGGGTAATATGAACGGAGGCAAACAAATTCCCACCATCAGCGGATTTGCACTGCCATGTGGAAGGTGCAAAAAACAGGGGACGTCTACAGAATAGGTGGAGCGATGGCATTAAGGATTTAACAAAGAAAAACATAGGTTTCCTGGAAGTGATTGCCACGGCACGAGAAAGGAGTGGAAAAAGTTTGTCCAACCTCAGCGTTAGCCGCCATGTCATGACTGACAAAAGAGAATAAGAGAGAGATTTGATTCAGGCGCCCTGCAGAGGACGGTTAAGGAGGGTGAAGGTTTCCAGTTCCGCATCTCCCGGTGCCACGCGACGAGATGAGGCCACCGCGAGTGGGGACCGCATGCTGGCGTTGGCATTTCAAAGATTGAAGGGACACACTGTAGCCAAAGGTCATCTCGCATTTATTATGTAAAACATCACGATGGTGGCACACACATCAGTACATCGTACAAAATCGAGCCAACATGCACCTGATTGACAAGTCAGAAAATATAAAAACAATAAAAACAAAACCAAGCGGCGCAATAGAGCGTTTTTGTTCACATCATCTCCTGAGATCAAGGCGCCGGTCTCGTGGGACCCACCTCTGGCGCCGCCGCTAACCCCGACTCACACAAGGAGGGCGCAACGGTGCCGCGCTGGCGATCGTTTAAATCAGCCGACACTTCAGCTCTTGGAGTAACGGATGAACCGCGGCCACCCAGGTGTCCGCCGACTCAGAGATTCTTGACCGTTGCGAGCAACCACGCCGCGAGGGTGCCGCCGGCGCCCGGACGCCGTTTGGGGCGCTGCCGAGTGTCCCTCAGTGAAGTGGAATCCCGTCCCCGGTGGGAGTCGCGCCGGGAGGAACGGGGAGAGCCACAGCAGGTACCAGCGGTCGCCCAGGGGTCTGCTGCAGGTTTCTTTGGAGGCCCAGATCGTAGCGCTTGAAGCCGTGCGTCCACTCTGCCGACGTCTGGCCATGCGCCACAATCCACATGTGGAACGCCAGCATACCACTCACGAACAGGAATCCCACGAAGCTCATATCGGCGACGACGTGCTCAGGAAAATCCCATGAATCCAATTTTGGCCGGCACGCCGAACACGAACACACGCAAGCGCCGGCAAACCGCCGACGGCAGATGAGACGCAACTTGCGGCACAATTCCTTCCATGTCATCAACGCGTGCCATCTGCGGAACTCAAAGTGTCAATGTGTTTCTGCTACAGCTGGAAGTTTTCTGAGTTAGAATGTTATCAAAGGATGCACCAAACTCACCGACAATCAAGATCGTCCTACTCCTATCTTTGAGGTGGCCAGTAAATGGCAAGCACAGCAATGAGTCAACGATGTTTAAATGAACTATCTGTGCAGAGCTTTCAGTTTCAGCCCCTCATACGTTTTGGTTTTCTCCAGATCCTCCAGTTTCCTCCCACACAAAGCCAAACACTCATTAATGGAATCAAGTAATCGCCCGCAAAAAAGTATTCGATTAACCAACTTAATCTACCAATCGGCCCAGCTCAAATTAGAAACCTCAGCACCTGTCGGCCGATGATGAAGATATCAAACGGAGCTCCAGTCACTCACCCAGGATCCACATGAGCCAGGGCATGAACAGCGAGAGCAGCAGGCGGACGCTGAAGCCCTGCTGCACCAGGGCGACGAGCGTGTGCGCATTGAGCACCAGCGAATAGAGCAGCCCCAGCCACAGGTGCAGGAGGCAGGCGACCGAACGCAGGCAAGTTGGCGAACCCGACGCAGCGGCCGAAGAACACGCAGTGGTTGGTCGCGGCGCAGCACGCACACGTGGCACTCGAAGCAGTGGTGGCTGCGTGGAGGGACGTAGCTCTCGCAGTGGTAGGCAGTACCTGCGGCCGACATGGGGAAGGGGGGTAGCGACGGTGGGTTACGAAGGGAGGGTGGCACACGCAGGAAAAAAGTCAGGGGTCCCGCCACCAACGGTTTTGCTCCGTAGAGCGGATTTTAGCCGGTGCGGGCTTTTTCCTGGGTATTCTGGTTTTCTTCCACATGTATAAAAACTCACGAATGGAGTTGAACCAAACATAGAGATATAGAACCACAAAGCTTTGGCAATTTCTGGTGCTGGTACTGGCTGGCTACCCTCTAGTCTGTGGTTTTCCATGCCTCTGCGCAAATCTGTTCGTGTTATAACCTGTAAAGCATTTTCAGATGTAATTTGCATGAACAACACATGTGATGGGTAATTCATGTTGTTATTATGCATAAAACCACCTGGTGCACTTCCCGCCACCGTAACCTGAACGTGTGCCATGTTGGCACTGCGGGTAGCGTGAAGGAGCATCGTGCGGGGAGGGACTTTGTGACTTTGAAAACCCTAACCCTCAACCCTACACCCACCCCTGCATCATGAAATGTGACCAACCTCCATCCTTGACCCTGGTGGGATGGCAGAAACACCCTCTTGATGCTCGGATCCCTCCACATGAAGAGTCCCATGTTACCGAGCACCCCAACCAGCAGCAGCCAGGCAAGAAGCAGAGAGGGCAGTGACTCCCACGAGCCCTCTTCGGCCGCTCCCTGGCCCAGGATGAGCAGGTTCCCTTGCGCGAACACCATCGCCACCATGGTGCTCGTCAGCACGATCGGCAGCCAGTGGCCGACTGACGCCAGCAGCAGCCCCAGCAGGAATCTCATCGCTGCACGGCGCTGGGAAGCACTGCGACTGCAAGACAGAGGGGGATCGAGGGTTAGGGCAGTCACATGACTGGCGGGCAACATGTTCACTCCCGAGCCAGTTCACGGTAAAATTCCTGTCACAGCCGCCCTGTATTATGGCGAGTAATTTACGAAAAAATAAACGTCTACTGTGAGTCAATTTTAAATACATTTTAATACAATTTGTTAAAGCCACTGTGTGTGCCAGAGTCAAAATCGAATTTTATAACCTCTAATCTACAGGTTTAAAAAGTCATCAGCAGCCATGCTCTATCCACTACTGGATGATGGTCTCCCTTAGCCCGTCACAATCTCTCATCGTCACGCGACGTAACAACCTAGCGCCCCCACATGAACGGATTTCATCGCTGCATCTCCGCCGCAGACATTCTCTCAGGAAGCGTTCCCTCCTTCGGCTGCTTCACCGTCGGTCTTGCCCACCGGGAGGCCATCATCGCTTCGAGCAACACGTGCTGCCCAGGCCCACTTTACTTCAGTCAAAATGACGTCTCTCTGACTTTACAGTGAGCAATGTCTCAAAGAATGTCACCGTTGAATACGAAGCAAAAGCTAAAAAGACCTCTTCGATACAATTTTTGAAGGACATTGTGTCAAGGTCACACCTAAAATCTAATTTAAAAGCTATCTGCAGATTCGAGATCAGTTTTATACACGAAAGGTACTTTTTTCTAAAACGAAAATTGGTGAGTGCACCCTTAAAACACTGGCAACGAACGTCCAATGACGCTTCGCGTAGTTAAATAAAGGACATTGAGACATGGCATCTCGGCAAACCGGGCATGACAGATCCTATTACAACCAGGGTTCGTTTCTCCTTTCATATGGAGCTGCTCACTGGCCACCATGGTTCCTGCGTAGCAGCAACGCTGTTACAGCCCCCGTGGGCCGATACGTAACCACCAAGCAGAGTGGCCCGCCAATCTGATATCTCTCTGCGACGTAAGAGAAATACCGATTGGTGAGATACAGATTTAGAATCTGTGAGATCTTGATTTGAAGCTTTCGTGACTGCAGGAATCCATACTGTCCATTCCGATGTTGGAAAATCACAGCACGAGAACTGCTGTGTTTGTCTCACCTGATGACGGTCGCTTGTGTTGCGATCGAAACGTCGTGATCTATTAATTTTCTATCTACGTGACTCTACCGAAAGAACCAAAGCATTTGTGAGATGCGGGGTTTAAGCCAGGGGTTAAGCAATTGTTTAATTTTACTGAGAGCGGACTAGGAATTTCACGAATACCCTTTGGCGGATCAAGCATTGTCCAAACAACAACTTGGCATTACAGTATCCAATACCAATGCAAACCGTGCTTAAAAGGGATAATCTTTACCTCCTTTGGATGACAATGATGTCGGTTTTCAGTTACTAAAAACATCGATGATACAGTGGAACTGGTATTGTCCATTCCGATGTTGGAAAATCACCTGGAACTTACTATTCAATTGGGGATCATACGCGGTCGCAGCAACATTGCCCCCCCCCCCCACCCTCCCATTGCGAATATCAATATTGTTTGCGGGTCCTTTCAAAGTGCTGGGGGCTTCTTGTGGCTGCGGGCTGGGATGAGATGAAGTGGTGGGCTGGGTGAGATGAAGTCGTGGGCCGGGGGAGATGAAGTCGTGGGCCGGGAGAGATTAAGTGGTGGGCCGGGGGAGATGAAGTCGTGGGCCGGGTGAGATGAAGTCACGGGCCGGGGGAGATGAGGTCGTGGGCCGGGGGAGATGAAGTGGTGGGCCGGGTGAGATGAAGTGGTGGGCCGGGTGAGATGAGGTCGCCGGTTGGCAACGGCCCACGTGGCCACATGTCCCCTAGACACGGTTTACCGTCCGTATCGTCCGTACGAGACGGGTTTAAAATCGACGCGGTGTGCTTGGGATCTTGGTGGAATGAGCCCCGTTCCACACGAAGCAACTCCCCGCGTGTTCGCCGCTGCTGCACTTTGGAATACCCAGCGCTCGCGTCGCCGTGCCCTGCATACCGAACGGCATTGTGCGTGTATGTCATATACCGCTTGCTATACGCAGTACCACACGGTGTGTAAATGGTACACTGGCGTATAGCGTAACACACGCACCTCACACGGTGTGTACATGTGATGTATATAAAGCACACCACACACAGTAGTATGTAGGATTCATATCTGTGAACGTTTTACGCGGGGAGGGACGAGGGGGGTGGTGGCGCGATCATCATCATCACCACCATCACTTACTCAGGGGGCGGCTAGGGCGGCGCGGAGTCGAGCTGCGGCTCACCCCCAAGAGACGGCTCCCTGGGAGCCCGAGACACGACGTGGGAGGGGGAGCCGAGAGAGGAGACGAGAGAGGGGACGCGGAAAGACGAGAGAGGGGTGGCGAGGAGAGGAGACGAAAGAGGGGAGACGAGAGAGAGGAGACGAGAGAGGGGACGCGGGGAGACGAGACGGGAGAGGGGACGCCGATTCTCTTCCGTGTCCCGAGCCCCACCCACGTGACCCGGTCTCCATGGCGACCCCGGCTCGCCGCCGTGTTCGCGTGGAGCGGTGGCAACATCACAGCAGGGCGCCTGGGTTCGACTCCCTGACTCGGCCTTGCTTGCTGTGGTCGGAGTTCGTTCTCACCCTCGCCTGCAAGAGTGTTGACATTGAGAGGAGCTTGTACGCCGTCTGTCCTACATTGGGGGGTTCCTTCGGGTTCCTTCCAGAGCTAAAACAAACAAAAAAACATCACACCGTGGGAACTGGGTCCCGTCCATTCCGATGTTGGAAAATCACCTGCAAGATCACTGCTCAGTTGCGATGGCACACGACAGCATCAACATCGCCCCCTATTGCATAACACTTGGCAGGACCCTCGTGGAAAAAGTTAAGCTTCCGCCGGATAAACAAGCGTTATAATCCGCCCGGGACTTGGATCCACCACGCCCGGCCGCCTTTGTCTCCCCAGTGGGGATGTTCACACCACAACAGTTACTCGTTTGAGGCTGAGTCTACCTAGGGGAGGCCCAGGACCGGTTAAAATAATCGTCACCGGTGGTGGCCGTGAGCGGGAATCGAACTCGGGTCGCCGGGTTCGTAGCGCAGAGCGCTAAGCGCTACACTACAATGCGTTACGATTCCACACACACAGACGAACACACAGACAGATACACACACACAGACACACACAGACAGACACAGATAGACACACACACAGACAGACACGCACACAGACACACACAGACAGACACACACAGACAGACACACACAGACAAACACACACACAGACAGACACACTCACACACACAGCGCGCTAAGCGCTACACTACAACGCGTTACGCTTCCACACACACAGAGACAGACACACACACAGACAAACACACACACAGACACACACACAGACACGCACACAGACACACACACAGACACACACACAGACACACACACACCGACACGCACACAGACACACACAGACACACACACAGACATACACACACAGACAGACACAGACAGACACACAAAGAGAGACACACACAGGCAGACACAGACAGACACACAAAGAGAGACACACAGAGACAGACACGCACACAGACACACACACACAGACACGCACAGACACGCCCACAGACATACACACATACACAGCGCGCTAACCACTACACTACAATGCGTTACGCTTCCACATGCGAGGGTCACGTGACAGATGTGACGTCACAGCTCACTTGCCGTGCAAAAAATAAAAGGCATTATGAGCTCCCCCCCCGAAAGTGTATTTTATAATTTTTCCAATGGTGTACACTCTGGAAAGTACCCACATGACAAACTTCAAGTTAGTTGCATGTCTGGAAGTACGCGAAACATTTTGAACAAACACACAATCACAACTTTTGCCTTTTATATATATGGAGATGAAACACATTTCAGTCGGCCACTTAACACCTTAAGTTTATTTGTTAGACAGATGGGCATGTTTAGCGTGATTACAGCAACAACAAACACATCAATACAGGAAAACCCTTGCCCAGAGCGGCTTTCCCGAACGCGTGTTCCGGCACTACACGGTTGCCCTGATGAGGTCTGTTTTCCGGAACACGAGGGAGATTCATCATGAGGACCTCCTTTGCCAGTTCCAAAATATGAGAATGTTTTCCCCTTCTTTCTGGCAAACAAAACAGTTGTGTTAAGATGTTAAAACACCAACACTGAAACCTTTTACAAGCAATCATGTCTTCATTAACCACAATGCTTGTGGTCAGAATGCAAACAAAAAACAACACTGATAATATATGCATTGTCCTTGAAACTGATTGGTCCACACCAGAGACAGCTTTCTTTTGAGCCTCGTCTCAGGGCGTCCTCTGGTCGAACACCGTTTGAGACTTGGGCGCAAATCTTGTACATTTAGTTCAACAAAGAGGTAGGGGGTGATCATTTCTGAACAAGGGATGCAACAAGAATATGAAACAAGGGTTGCAACTCTCTGTTTCCCATGTCTATTTTTTGTAAAACACGGTTTTGCTCAACACGCCATTTCTAGGAACATAATCCAAGCGTTCAGCGAGGTCTGCATATATTGCAGCGAGTGAGTACAGGGTCCTTAAGAATATTCCACAGCAGGGTATTTGATGGTGGTAACACCTGCTGGGACTTTTTTTTCTTCTCTCATCCATCCGCGTCCGTTGATTTTTTGGGGCCATGACCTTCCCCGCAGTAGACCTGAATGCGGGGAGCATGGACGTGGGACCATAGAAGTACAATACGATGGATAGTTGCACTGTCCTCTGCTGCCCAGCTTAGCTTCTGAGGTGTGGTGAGATGAGACGCATTCCGGGGTGATTTAACACTTGTGTAAGCATGACATGTGCAATGTGCTTGCTTGTGGGTAAGGCAGTGTGAATCGCGGCATAACTTGGAAATCAAATTTTCTTGCTGTGGTTTTTCACACCTGATGATTGCTTGTGTTGGTGTCGAAACGTCGTGATAATTTTTATTTTTTATAATTTTTTATTATTTTATTGTTTCCCTTCTACGTGACTTTGCCGAAAGAACCAAGAATATGAATCCCTGCAGTCACGAAAGCTTTAAATCAAAAAGAAATAGAAGTGTTTAAAAATATAAAAAAAAACTTTTTAAAAATCAAATCACATTTCAAAGAACCTGCCCAGCAATAAAAGAAGATGGCTACAGAAAACCGTGCAAACTTTATGGGCAGGCTCGCTCACACTCTTCAGCAGCCGAGCGCCGAGAAGATGTCATCGATGTCCAAGTCATGAGTGTCCTCTGTGTTGGACCAACCATGCGGCCTGTGAATACTGTGTGGCCCTCGGGACCTCCGTGCTGGTCCGCGAGGCTATAAACCCGACGCGACATGGGCCCAGGGTGGCATTGTCGACAGAATGTCCACCATCTGTGTCGCGGCTGGGCTCGACTCGGAATCTTCAGTCGTGTCCACGGCAGAACCCGGAAACTGTTTCCTGCTCGCCTGGCGATAAAGCTGTAGTCTTTGCGCGACATTTCTGTGAGGCTCCAGGCCACGGTGCCGTCACGTCTCTCCGCATGAACCGGCGCACGGTTGTTTTCATATGACGAAGCTTCGCCCTGTAGCCTGTGAAAATCAGAATGAGAAAAAAACTATAACGTGAATGAATTAACAGGCACAATAGTCTTTGTTTCAAGCATTACAGGCCCGCTAACTGCAGTGAAATGGTGGACAAGCAGAGATCATCTAGTAATGGCCCTGCTTACTCATAGCCCAGCCGCTCCAGCTTGGCGAGCCTCGCACACTTGAGCCTCAGGCCTCCCAAGTACAGCATCGGCCTCCTTTGGTGCTGGCGACGGCAGGTCCGGACGAGGGCTCCCAGGGCATCCGTCATCTCGGTAAATGTTGTTGCTTCGCATGCGCCACTCGAGAGCCATAGAGCCGCCGGCGCCACCGGCGCCGGCGGCGCCGCTGGCACCACACACGAAATTATCCGGGATTTTCCTGGATCTCTCTTGACTTCTCTCTGTACAGAGTGAGCACACAAACATACAATGGGCTTCAGGTGGACAAAAATACCAGATGTTGGTGCCAGAGAATATATATTTCCCCAAATATGTCCCCCCCCTCCTAAAAACAAATATTAGTTCCCCTTCCAAATTGTCGTACCTCTTATGCCCCGGGAGACGGGTCCACTGCAATAATACTGCGAGTATGGATTTAAAAAAACCTCTTAATTTCAAGTGCACTTTCCAGACATATATATGAAACTATTACTCAATTTGCTTTCAATTATGTTATATTTATTTAAACTATTTAAACTAACTGTACGGTCATAACTTTGTCCTCACCAATGTAGCACCTAACCATAACTCATGTGTACATATAAGTTTTAGGGAATAGACGTTTGCTGGCTGGAACATTTATTTCCCTGGGGGAAGAAATATGTTTCAAATACTTTGTTCCTGGAGGGAACAAATATTAAAATATTCGTGGGAAACGATATCTGTCTACACCTGGAAGTTGTCATCAATTATGTTTTGTGATGAATGAAGTCAAGTGTGGGAGCATTCGCTGAAACATAACAACCACCCTCTGGCAGCAACTGCCAGGGTACTAACTGGCAAAGCGCCCAAGCGAGCCCCCTTCTGAGGGGGGCCTCCTGATTTCCAAAGGGTCCCTCCTAGCAAAGCCCGCAAAGAAGCCCCCTTTCTACCCCCATGTCTCGACAGTAGCAGTCGATCTGATGCAGCCACGAGGCTGAGCCCCCCCCCCCAACCTCGGCCTCCTCCTCCACCCATGAGGATGAGTTAAGGGCACAAACAGCGGAACTCACCTCTGAGCCATGGCCCGTGTTCTGTGTCTTCTCCATGAGCCAGTCCAACTTACACTCTGAAACAAAGCAACGTTTAAACAGACAAAAGCAATCGTATAAGTCAGACAACCGTGTAGAAACTGTCACCTGTTACATTGGCCCTGGTTTGTGTCCTGGAGGGCCGGTGGCATGTGGCTCCAGGTTGAGGAGGCTGTAAAACTCCGCACTTGGGTTTCGTGAGTGTGCCCCGCTTGCACAGAGAGATCAGCAGATGCGGACGAGCGCTCTCGTACCCACGGCGTCCCGGCTTCCTCCCTGCTCCAAACGCTTGCCGATATCAGGAACCATCACCTCCTGCGACCGGGGTCTCGGTTGTGCAGTGGTAGCAGCAGCAGGAGCAGCAACAGCCGGATTCTCCACCAATTCAGCCCCGGAGTCGCCAAATGTTTCATCCGAGGCAACAAACAGCAACTCCAGCAGGTCTGGTGGACACAGCCAAAACGGTATTCATGTAACGGCCAAAAACAAGTGTAACAGCTGTACAGATGTATCCCAGATCGCCCTTGCAAAAGAGGAAATTCTGCTGATGTGTCTCAATGGGTCTATTTCATCTCCTAGTTAAAACAAGATGGTGGCAACAACAAGTCATTGCAGTTCTCAGATATAATAAGGAAAAGTGGCCAGCCTTTGGTGATTTTCACATTTGAGAATGAAAATAATTACCCATGACCACATATCCATCATTGTGCCTAACCATGTCTGATAATGAAAGACAAGCAGTTTTGAGCCTGATTAACGTTTGAATGGATACTGCCTGCGAATACCGAATGTGTTGGTGTGGAGCTGTGGGGTTGACCAGAAAATGGCAGTACAGGAACGGCAGCATGAATCAATCAATGCAGAGCTGAAAATGTTGCCCCCCTCACAAAGGTTTGGGTTTATCGGAGCACTGTGGTTTCCATCCACAAGAAGCCACTCATTAAATAAATTCACAGCCAAACATTTCAAGGCAGGATCTTCCTAAATAATGGCGTTGTTTCTTGGAGAAACAAAGGGTATTGTCATACAATGAGAACAAAAGTTTTTTCTGGTTGTTTGGCGTGTGGGTGGGCATGCTATGCATGTTTACGGTGTTGGGCTTCATGTGAGCCCAAGCAGGTCCCCCTCACCCGAGCTGATCTTGGCTTTATGCACTTGGAGTGGAGCACCGATCTGCAGGACGTGCGTGAAGTCGGGGCCCAGCCACTCAGCGAGCGCGTCGGGGAACTCAAACCCCTTGGCCATTGAGACGCCGTGTAGGCTGCTCACGGTACGCAGCACGGCACGCAGCTCGCTGTACAGGCCCACCAAGGCCAGCAGTATCGGCTTGCACATCACACTACAAAGACAGAGATCCCTCGTATAGCCTTAACAGACCATTGGGGCAAGTTCTGTTAGGAAGCACCTATTAAGGCCAACATGGCGCACGAAGGGGTGGGTGGCAAGTACCCTGCCTAGCCTCCTTTGTTTCCCCTAAGCCTGAATCGACCTAGGGGAGGCCCAGAACTGGTTCAAATATTTGTCACCGATTTTGGCTATGGGCAGGGATAAACACGAGTTGCGTGGTAGTTGCAGTGCACTCACTATTATGCCACCACTCCCACAAACATGTCCACACACACCATATCTATCTATATCATTAGATTTCTCAGGGAAAAGAAATACAGTCTATCGGCTCTCTTAACAATGCTTATCAGCGGTGGAAATGTTCTGCTGCTGCTGATTTGTTCCTTGTGAGTTTAAGCAGCAAGCGGAGTCAGAGTGCTGGGTTCTCACCAGAGGCGGCTGAGCACGGCGGTGAGCAGCAGGTTCAGGGTGATGTATTCCTCAGGTGCAGATGATGCAGGACCAACCTGCGCTACTCGTTAAGGAAATTACCGCATGGTTGTGGGCGAAGAGATGCATGATGGCGATGGGGGGGGGGGGGGATGGGAGTGTAGAGGGCACGCTGTGCATCTAAATAAAGCATTGGAACAATATCGCCCCACTTGCATCAACACCGACACTATGAGAAACATGTGTATCAAGGAAGAAACGAGAGTCAGAGAGATGATATTGGTTTTGGGCGCCATGTGCAGCTAGACACGATGATGGTCGACAGATGAGACTGGTAAAGAAATGGCAGTCAAGGAAAGTAAAGGAGGAGCCCGAGTAGATAACCATCGTGGGGATGAGCGATGAATCAGCTCGTGTGTGGGTTCTAGGTGGCAACAGCTTAGGGTGGCTTCATTTATCAGCGGATTGATCATAGCTGCTGCTGAAATCGCAAAAAAGAAACTGTCACAACGCACGATTTGAAGCATTGCAAGCGTAATAATCAACGTCGATCGGTAGGAACCGACCCATGGTTCCACGCCTTGGGAACGTGGCCACTCGTGACCGCTTTCCGTTTTCCTGATGAGCTCCAGCGTGGGCGAGATTCGAGATCAGGGATACAGGAAGGCACGCTCGCACATGGCGACGGTGTGCAGGACGAGCTTGGAAGCACCCATCACGAGCAGCCGCCATCCACTCGAGGAAGGGGCGGCTGGGCACGTACACGGCATCGCCGCCATGCTCTCCGGTAAGCTGTCACACGGTAAATCACAATAGCAATGTGGATCCATATAGCGTCAGCGACCACATCTCCCGATGCTGTACAGTGTACAGAAACAGTGAGCATAGCCTAATTTTGATTTAAAGCTTTCGTGACTGCAGGGATTCATATTCTTGGTTCTTTCGGTAAAGTCACGTAGAAGGGAAATTTTCAAATTTTCTTGCTGTGGTTTTCACACCTGATGATGCTTGCTTGTGTTTGCAGTTGAAACGTCGTGAGAATTTATTGTTTTAGATTTTTTATTATTTTATTGTTTCCCGTCTACGTCACTTTACCGAAAGAACCAAGAATAGTGAGCATAGTTATTTTACATTGGAAAAAGGCAGTCATTCCGTGGCAGGGAACAAAAGGGACGCGACTGAACCTGAACTTCACAGAGGCAGTAATCCAACAGTACAAAATGGCTGGGGGAAATTCCAGCGTCGCAGCTCGGGTCACGCAGCTTCGGCGTGTAGTCACAAGAGATACGCGTTTTTTGTTTGTTTGGGTCGTGTCTTTACGGCCGGGTTGGAGTTTGGCGTCACCTCGTGCAGCTGCCGTGCAGCTCCTTTAGACGCAGCTCGAGTTTCAAGTCGAAGAGCCGAGTGAAGCACTTATCCACCTGCACGCGGACACGGGGAGAGCAGCAGGAAGAGAGCGGTTCAATTCGCGTATGCGAGAATGGACTGCGGTGGCGCAAGCAATTGAACAGTGCTTAAAAAATTTCCCTCCACCCACAATTGTATCCCGATTGTCTTATGAGGGTGATGTTTAATTAAGAATGTTTGCAACGGCTGCCCTGATTATTTCTCTGGGTGTAATAACCATAATTTCATTGAAAAAAATTAATTGAATCCAGGAAAGCCACACCAAGTCGTAGGACTCCATTTCAGGGAGGTTCCTGCACATTGTGTTCTGGATGATTTGGTGGCAGCCGTTGTTGCGAATGGTGCTAGAAGGCTTGGTGTGGAGGGGATGAGCGAGTTGGAGAGGGGTGGAGCGAGTTGGACATGGGTGGAGCGGGGTGGAGTGCAGCTGTATGGGCTGCTGTGTCACCTGCTGCACGGCGCGGTAGGGCTTGTGCTTGCGCATGCGGGAGCGGAAAACGCGGAGCACGGATGCGCAGAACTCCGCCGTCCAGGCGCAGCCGATGACTCTGCAGGGCGCCCGCGGCCTCGTTCGCCGCGCCGCCCAGGGCAGCGCACAGCTCTACGGAAACACGGGCACGGGGCCTAGTGAATCGACGGCTGTGGAGGGGAGGAAATTCGCCGGTGTGGAGACCATACCCAAGTTCGACTCCCCCGTCCCTCTCTGACGCCGCCTACAACGAGCGCCCACGACTCAACCCTGAGAGAGGACGAGAAAACGGCGGCGCCTACCGAGGAGCTGCGGGTCGCGGGGCAACAGCACGGAGCTCTGCGCGCTCGGGGCCGGCAGCGCGAGCTCGTTCCAGGGCTCCCCCGCTCATGGTTGACCGGGCCTGTCCACGGGCGGAGGAGGTGGCGGCGGCGGAACCCTTTGGCTCCGCGTCTGCGCAGCGCTGAGCCGCGGCGAGTTGATCCTCGCCCAGGTTTTAGACCTCGGGGATCTTAAAACGCCGGGCGGGCGTGAAGAACGCCGCGTTGAACCCCTGCCCACTACTACAGGGCCCGGCCCGGCGTTGATTCTTAAATGGTCTTGCAGAGAGGTCCCGAGAAAGTGGACAGACGACGAAGTAGAAGCGCGCACCGGGGAACATGTGGACTCGCACCCACGTGTTGCGTGGGGGGGGGGTCACGCGGGGTGGGGGCAAGGGTCACGCCGGGCTGGGGGAGAGAGACGAGGGGGGGGTTACCACCGTTGCTACTACGGTGTCTCGGAGGGCACGCACATCGGCCGGGGAAACGCGATTGGCAAATTCGTTACTTCGTTTCAAATTTTTTTTTTTAAATCAATCCGCTCCCTTTCCGCGTCTCTCGGCGGCACCGCTTACGTTGCGATCGCGCCGAGGTCCGCGCTCTCCCGTGTCGGGGACGCGCCGCGCAGCTTTGGCTCCGCGATTTATTCTCCTTAGCGACGTCGCGACAAAGATGGCGGAGCAGGTAGGGGCCGGGCCCGCGCGGCGCAGGGGGACGCGGGGGGGGACGCGGCGCTGCCCGCGGCCGGAGTCCGACTGACCAAAACCCCCCCCCTCGGCACCCCCCTCCCCTCCTTCTGCCTCTACAGATGCTGTCCGAGGTGTCCGAGGGCTGCCGCCTCCCCGTGCTGCGGCGGAACCAGGAGAACGAGGAGGAATGGCGTAAGCGCTGGCTAGGCCTCTGGCGCGATCCTCACCGCTGCTCGGATAGATTCCCTGCCCGAGATGGAGCGCCCCGGACCCCGCAGCCGCCGCTTGAAATCCACGCCCCCCCTCCACCCACCACCCACCACCAACTCTCCCGTTCACAGGCTCTCGCGGCCGCGCTCATTACAGACATCTATATACCCTCGTAGTGAGAGGGCAGCGAGAAGGCGGCAGTGGTTTTGAGACGTTGGTGGTTTGTGTGCGGGTCGGAGGGAGTTCGTGGCCTCTTTCGGGGCGAGTGGTGGCCCCGGGGTTCATCGTCTCGTCCTCCCTGCCACCTGGGCTCGCGTTATTTTGCGCCTTTCTGGGGGTTTCTGAGTCTGATTGGGCCCCCTTTTGTGGATACTTTGTTTGTAAACAGTGTTGCTTCGTTATGCGTCTGCATAACCGCTTCTGCATTTGAATGATAGTGTCATCTGTAGTGGGTCACTTTGTGGTGGGGTAATCTGTTGTGGGTTTTATCCGGTGGGTTCATGTGTGGTGTGGTCATATAAGGTCGGGTAAGCTGGTGGGTTCATATTTGGTGGGTTCAGCTTGTGGGTTTATCTGTTGGGTTGAAGTTTGGTGGGGTCATCAATGCTTTATCATAGGTGGTATATGAGGCCTTGTCACAAAACTTGTGTTGTGTTCAGCCCTTTGCAGAGGTCCTGGGCATCAAGGAGGTGAATGGACGGAAGCAGTATACGTGCATTATGTGGACTGTAAGTACCGGCACATGCACGTATTTAAGTTGATGTGTTTATAAGGAAATGCTACATTCCCCTCTACCCTGCCATATGATTCCACAGCACTTTATGGCGTAGTGGGGGACAACTGCACAACCGGCCATTTAAATAATTATTTTGTCTCCTTGGTTTTCGTTTCACTTTGCCCAATAAGTGAACTTGTTAGTATGCCCTGTGTCTGTGTGTCCAGTTAACGTTTCTTGTACCGTTTGTGTGTCCAGTCAACAAGCGGCTGGACGAGTGGGTCACCTACGATCGGCTGGACGTGCGACGGATGCAGTTTCCACGAAAGGATGCCAAGACCCCGACAAAGAACGGCTCGGGACCATGCTCCCGTCCCAGCAGCCCCGAGCGAGAGGTCGTTGCACCCCAGAAGCCCAGCCATGTAAGCACGGCTGCTAAGTCGGCCAGCGAATCCACCACCATCACACCATCATCCTTTATGCGTTACCCTATTGTTAACACACACACACACACCTGTCTTGTGAACTGCGAAGCATTGTAATTGAGCAAGGGAGAGTGCCTCGTTCTTTTGCATATGGCAAGATGAATATCAACTCATAAAAGTCTTATGTCCAGATTAGTGTGCTAGGAAATGGCTTTCAGTTGATGTGCAGTGGATTGCTTCAATGCCTCCAAGCGATCACAACCTTCACATGATTCACCTATTAAGTGTTATTAACACGATTATGAACCTATTCAAATCAACAACTTACAGCTGTAATGTGCCCGCAAAGTGACAAACGTCTTAGAGCACGTAATTTTTATTTTTCATCAGCTGAATAGCAGTAGTAAGAAAAGTGCCTGGTGATGTGTGTTGGGAAGAGCCTTTTTGGATTATTGTGTGGCAGCTGTCAGAACCTGAGCTTGCATTGCGAACCATGCCCTCTCGTGTCTTTCTCCCCCACAATAGCAAAACGGAGTTCAGCGGCGTCCACTGATGTCTGTGGTCGGTAGGAAACGGAAGATCCTGGCGCTCAGTGCAGAGGAGGTAATTGGCACGGGGTGGAGTGCGCACCAACCTGCTTTATGCACCAGACCGCACTGCATCTCCCCGTTGCATTCCCCTAGGTGGGGCCATAATGTGGTCTCGTTTACCTTCTTGTATCCCAAACAGACCCTGAATGTGCGATCCCCGATACATTGCTGGAAGCGGTACAAAGCAGGGGCAAATGATGAAGAGCGAACGGACAACTTTGAAAAGGTTCCATGCGTTTTTCAAGTAAAGAATTTGTAACCTCTACTATACAAGCATATTTCCTATCATCAAAGTGCCTGCATAATTATTTGTAAAAAAAAAAACATGGGAATTGACGTGATCGTAACATTCTCTGGAAGCAGAACAAAAACTGGCACCTTCCCTGACATAGGGAAGGTGCCGTTGCCGAGACATTGACGAAGTTGCATTGAGGCGTTGTGTTAATTCTCTTGTGTTTTTGCCAAATGTTTACAAGTGATTGTTTCTTATTAACTACTCAACCCTACCTTGTCATTGTTGTTTATGGTGGTGTAGGAAACATCTCCAGAAATGAGACCGCGTCTCGTTGAAGGAGGTTCCGGGATTTGGGTACGCTCCGTACATACACAGACGTGACGGTGCCTCTCCTTGTACGTTCATGCGTTTGTGGGTTTGTGTGCTTTCCGCTTTCGTGCATTCGTGCATTCGTGCTTGTGCATGATCGTGTGTGTGTGCGTGTGCATTGTGTCATTCCCAGGACTCGCAGGACAGCTCAGACGGAGTCCCGGCCGTGTCTCTGCCACGACAAACTGGCAGCCTGGTGAGCGACAAGAGCCACGACGACATCGTGACGCGCATGAAGAACATCGAGTGCATCGAGCTGGGCCGCCACCGCCTCAAGCCGTGGTACTTCTCGCCGTACCCGCAGGAGCTCACCAGCCTCCCTGTGCTCTACCTCTGCGAGTTCTGCCTCAAGTACCTCAAGAGCCTCACGTGTTTGCAGCGCCATATGGTGAGTGCCACAGGGAGAATTTTACCGTCTTTTACCCTTGACTGGCAAACAAGGCCCAGTTTTTTTAACATTTGAAATATTATTATTAGATACCCCACTGATTTATGACCTTATTCTCAATAGGAAATTTAATGTAGATTTTATGAAGAGTATTAAAATATTACATTTTTTATTGAGATTTGTGAGAGACGTGTAGATAATTTGAAGTAAAAAATATATATAATTTCTCACTATTGTAGTGCAAACTGGTTTATATAATGTCCTGTGACCATTTGCTAATCTAGGGTTCTTCATCTATATTTTCTGGTGGGCTACTTAACTAAACCTGCGTGTGCTGGTGGGCCACGTGATGTTATAGGACACGTGTACAGCTGTTATTACGTCACATGTTGTGTGACGTCATGACATCTGTGAATGTGACCACAAATCCGTACCTCTTGTCTTTAGGTCCCTCATCTTGCGCTCATATATCGTAAATGTATGTCTTGTCTACTGCTCTGTCATATATCTCCATTGTTTATATAACTAATTGGGATATCTGTCTTGGCAAACCATATCTCTTGATGGGGCATAGTTCGGCAGGCCACTCAAGAGCCTTTGTAGACCAGATGTGACCCACAGACCGTCAGATGAAGGACCTAGACCTAAGCGGATATCTTCATCACTGAGCCTGACCATCCTGTGGATGAAATAGTTTTCACTTTGTGTTTCTCGTTTGCAGCATAAGTGTAACCTGCGCCATCCACCTGGTAACGAAATCTATCGAAAGGGCAACATCTCCTTCTTTGAAATAGATGGACGGAAAAACAAGGTGAGTTTCACGTTTATTTTATTTAACCAAGTGATAACTAAAGATACCGGGATAGTCTCACTTGCGAGAGTGACGTGGGGCATTAGTCTGCCAGTAGGGGGGCGATGATTGCTGCTGTGTATAAACCCAATTGAGTAATTAACAGGTTATCTTTTTAGAATTTGGACGCTGGCGCTGGCACACAATGGCACACTATGGCACACTCTTGCGAGTGACGGCAGGGGATTATTACCGTCCACTGCGAAGTAGACGGTACAGTGTTATGGTCATTACTCCCGGGGTGTAATAATAATGGCAGGTGCTGGATTCAAATCATTAACCTCTGCAATGAAGGGCGAATGCGCTCTTGCTAGGCCATGCCATTGCCCGTCAGGGTAACCCGTGCTTGGCACACGTGTGGCAATGTTTAGATTCTTCTGGCATTATGTGTTCTTATTTGTGAGGCGTCAGGAATTCAGGATGCACTCGGCCTTGTCTACCTCTTCCCTCTCACTTTACTCCTCTCCACGCCCTCCGCTCTAGGAAACAATTCTCTCTATACTCTTTGGATCTATTCGGTAAAGTCACGTAGGTAAAAATAAAACAAAAATCACGACGTTTCAGCCACAACACAAGTAGCCTTCATCAGGTGAAGAAACAGGACTGTCCAGAAGACCGCTTGAGTGAACACTGCCAAGCATGGGCTGCGTCTTTTCAGCTGTGTGGGAGGAACAGAGCGCCTTGACAAAGGAGGTTAACATATAAATTAGCATGTAACTGGGGGATTGGCATGATGTTGGTGTGAGGGATTAGCACCACGGAGAGCGACGAGCATGTAACTGGGGGACTAGCATGATCTTGGTGTGAGGGATTAGCAGCAGTTTACATATCAACAGTAAATAAGCATGTAACTGGGGGATTAGCATGATGTTAGTATGAAGGATTAGCACCACGGAGAATGACGAGCTTGAAGAAAGCCAAGCGCAGGTCGCCTCCTTTTTCAAGCTGAGGGGGTAAACAGAAAACGCCTTGGCAAAGTAAATTAGCCTAAAACACACCACTAATTTCCTTTGCCAAGGCGTTTTCTGTTTACCCCCTCACAGCTTAAAAAAGGAGGCGACCTGCGCTTGGCTTTCTTCAAGCTCGTCATTCTCCGTGGTGCTAATCCCTCATACTAACATCATGCTAATCCCCCAGTTACATGCTTATTTACTGTTGATATGTAAACTGCTGCTAATCCCTCAAACAAACAATGCTAGTCCCCCAGTTACATGTTCGTCGCTCTCCGTGGTGTTAATCCCTCATACTAACATGATAATCCCCCAGTTACATGCTTATTTACTGTTAATATGTAAACTGCTGCTAATCCCTCACACCAAGATCATGCTAGTCCCCCAGTTACATGCTCGTCGCTCTCCGTGGTGCTAATCCCTCACACCAACATCATGCCAATCCCCCAGTTACATGCTAATTTATATGTTAACTCCTTTGTCAAGGCGCTCTGTTCCTCCCACACAGCTGAAAAGACGCGGCCCATGCTTGGCAGTGTTCACTCAAGTGCTGTCTTCTGGACAGTCCTGTTTCTTCACCTGATGAAGGCTACTTGTGTTGTGGCCGAAACGTCGTGATTTTTGTTGTATTTTTATCTACGTGACTTTACCGAATAGAACCAAGAGTATGGATCCTTGCAGTAACGAAAGCCTCAAATCTAGAAAGGCTCTCTATATCTAAGCCCCCAGTCAACCTTCACTCAGTGGGGGGGTTACTTATTTTCTACTGCTGCAGCCATGAACTGGAAATTTCTTCCCCCAACCACCTGTGATGTTGACTTCCTGTCCCTTTGCAAGTTCAGGTTTAAGACCTTTATTTCTCTGGCTCTGACTGGCCGCCTTTTTCATGAAAATAACTATATTGTACTCACTTTAACATGTACGTTTTTCATAGCCGCTTCTGATGCAAGCGTCGTTGAGTTGTGTGTCAAGCATTTAGTCACTCAAGCTTCACCATGCACCATTACGGGCATCCTGAGCAGTTGACTTGCGAAAGCTTGAAACAACAAATGCTCGACATGAAACCCGACCCGGAAAACCGCACTTTATATAAGCACACTTCCTAAAGACGCAAACGTTGAGAGCGACTTCCCTCTCCCTGTCCCCAGGCCTACTCCCAGAACCTGTGTCTGCTCGCCAAATGCTTCCTGGACCACAAGACACTCTACTACGACACGGACCCCTTCCTCTTCTACGTGATGACGACCTTCGACTGCAAGGGCTTCCACATCGTTGGCTACTTCTCCAAGGTGCATTCGCTCGTGGAAATGAGTCGAGTCGCGCGTTCCCGGCCCTACGATGTTGGGAATATTGCGATACGACATTACGATACGAGGTCCATGATAATCGTATCGTCTGTGTTGCAGTGTCGTTAAATCGCAGGCCATTTTATTATTTAGAATATCTTGTTAAAATGTTTGGGAAATAACACCGTAATTAAAATTCTAAATAGCTACCTATTAAAAGTGCTTGTTTTCCTGGGTCACCAATGAAAGTATACCGACTCATGCATTTTGTCAATTTATTTTGTATTTATTGTGACTGACAGTGTACATTCTAGATTGTCAAATACAAATTATTAGAAGACTCCTGGTGGGCTTTTGTTAAGTGAACTGAAGTTGTAGAACTTTTAAGTCATCTGTATTTGTACTTGAAGTACAGCAAAGTGCAAAGACCAGGCAATAAATAAGCAAAATAACAATTACAAAGTTATAGAAACTGACGTTGCAGTAATTGTCGTACATGTGAACATTTATATCGTTGCAACCCGAGTTCTAACATATCCGAACACAAGAGGTGGTGAACCTTAAGTCTTTTTCAGCATCGTTGTATGTGCCGATATCACTTAGCAGGGTTGCTCTGAGTAATGCAGTGATTGCTCTGCAGCTCGTAAAGACAATGTTGACAGGGCAGCTGTTTCGTTTGGTAGACAGTCTTTGTGTCTACCAGTGCAGCCCAAAGGGTTCTTGTTCACCTGAGTGGAAGTGCGACTAGCCTTAAGTGGCATGTGCGTTCCTGAGTCTGTCTTGGTCTAAATTTACTGTGACTCTTAAGTTAACTTTACAAGACGACTACCTGCTTACCTGCGCAAATGCTGCAATTTAAGAAGCTGAAATCACGTTTTTTTATGTGTCAGTGTGTACGTTGGTAATCACAAATAACCACCAAGGTGTTTGTTCTCGATTCAGGAAAAGGAATCGACGGAAGATTACAACGTGGCGTGCATCCTCACACTGCCCCCGTACCAGAGGAGGGGGTATGGCACATTGCTCATAGAATTCAGTAAGTAAACCGAAACACTTGAATGAATGTATCTTATTCTTGAGACCGTTGAGAACCCGTTTAGATATAGCTTGCAATGCGATATTGAACACGTAGTACAAATATGCGCAGTAGATTGTGAATGCCACTCGTGAAATTGGATATCTGTTCACACACTTGAGATTTTCGTTACTCCGATGCATCGGTCTCTCAGAAGTAGCTATGGAAATGTTATTATAGAAGGAAGATCTTGCAAACGTTTGGATTCAAATATGAATTTGTCCTCTGAAGTATTTAATTTGTGGAGGCACAAAAATAAGCACACTGGACAGCAGTTGAAACAATGGACAGATTTATGAAAATAACCTGCTGCTGTCCACCCAGCCGTATATATCGGTACACCACATTCGATTAGCATGTCGTGTGTGCTGGAGTAAAATGGGTTCACCCACCTCTTTTAAGCTTATTGGATCGTGTAGAAGATAGGGCCAATTATTCTCTGGAGGGGGCTCTAGAGCTTCCTCTAGTCAAAAGCCATTTTGCAAGCATTGGTATCAGCAAGTAGGTGCAGCACTGTATCTTTATCTTTTTTATTAATGTTACATTCCAAGCCACAATAGATGTTACACGATGCATGACTTGAGGTCGCAGGATTACATTTCACATCGCGACATCTTCCCGCAATGTCACACGCAGGTTTCACATCCCTTGCGCGAGACATTATTGAGGGCTCCAGAACCACAGTCTAAAGCTAAGAGGCCTGCACAGCATTGGATGCGTGATCACCCAGCTCTGGTGGGCGTGAGCAATGCTGGCACGGATGGTATGGTGGTGCTGGATGACGGTTCGGTGTCATGTTGGTGTGCAGGCTACGAACTCTCCAAGGTGGAGGGCAAGACAGGAACGCCGGAGAAGCCGCTGTCAGACCTGGGACTGTTGTCCTACCGCAGCTACTGGTCGCAGACCATCCTGGAGATTCTCATTGACCTCAAAGCGGAAAACGGGGAGCGCCCGCAGATCACCATCAAGTACGGTCGCTCGCTCGGCGTTCAGTGCAGTGGGACACACACCCCGACACTTAATAGATGGCCGTTGTATGTCAGAGACCATTTTCGAGTCTTTTAATACAAATATAAAATTCTAAGTAATTAAATAATTATGTTGATAATTCCCCCCCTGACACCGAAATCTATAGCTGGGTGCGTCACTGGAAAATCGCCATTGTTGTGGCAAGAAGTTTCACTCGAGACGACAGTGGTTCACCTCCCCTTCAGCTGCTTAGTTGTCACGATTCGGGGTCAATTATTTTTCCATTCTCGGTTTCTGTACCGTCTCACTTATATTGTCCATCTCATTTGTTCCTTTAGCTTCAAGGTGACGTTTGCTTGTATTTTGCGCAAATCCGTTCTCGCTCGCGTAATTCCATTTGTAATCATCGCGTGTATCGGGCGTGTAAGAATCAGTTTAAAGAGATGAATCCTCGCATACATAATTCTCACACATCGTTTGTGTAGTAGTTACAATTGTCTTTATTAAAGATTACATTTTGACTGAACAAAAGCGAGTGGGCCAAGGCAAGACATCATGAGAGGTGATGATAGCCAGTGGTCGAGATTAATGTATGAGGGGTAAGCCAAGGGAGTGCAGGTACCCCGAGAGAGTACGTCGACCATGGAAACGGAGCAATTAAATCAGCTTGCGTGCTTTTGCTGGGTTTTTCTTACATCACAAGACCATGCGAGATTGACGGCTTGAAGGCCTTTATCTAGCATTGGATTGATCACTGTCAATTCTATACATTAATACTAGTTTCATCTTGAAGCCGTTGTCATGGAAATGCACACCATTTTTGCACTCTTGCAGTGAAATAAGCGAGTTGACGAGCATCAAGAAGGAGGACGTCATCTCCACGCTGCAGCACCTCAACCTTATCAACTATTACAAGGTGCGTCGCCGTACTTCCGCACTGGTTGCTGCGCACGCGCCATCAACGCTAACGCCGCGTTGCTAAACACGAGTTGTTTCCGCCCCTCCCGCTCAGGGTCAATACATCCTGAACCTGTCGTACGAGATCATCGAGGGCCACCAGAAGGCCATGGCCAAGCGGGAGTTGCGCATCGACTCTAAGTGCCTCCACTTCACGCCCAAGGACTGGAGCAAGAGGGGGAAGTGGTGAGGGGTTGGTGGAGGGTGGGAAAGGACGGACTTCCTCTGCACAACCTTGCAGCCCACTTTTAGAACCCAGGTGACATCCATCGGTTTAGAGTTCACAAGTGCAGAGAAACTCGCGTGACAATGCTCTTTGGGAGTGCAGCAGCAGAGCACGTTTTCCAGCATCGACCTTGAACCGCATGCAAGCAGAGCGGGACGTCCCGTGCGGTGGCCACGTGAAGGCACGCCAAAATTCGTGGCGTAGTCAGCGGGAGACTTGGGGTGGAGGCTTTTGTGGGCAATACACAGCTCTAATCGGCTCCGCAGCTCATCCTCTACCACCTTGGAGGCGCATTTCCTTTAGTGGACGTTAGGCAGAGACTGGGACGGCTCCTCCACGTGTACAATGTTTTACCCTTGTTAATCTAGGCTCATGCCCCATGTTCACCCCGAGCCAAATTTTAGTGTTTGTAGATAAGTGATTTTGAACTGGACAGCCAGAAAAATGTGAATTTATCAACACTGATTGCTACAGCAATCTCTGATTTAAGTCGTCAGCCAGATAATTATTTGTAAACACGTAATGCTGCCATATCTTTCTGGGAATATGAACAACTGTTTTTGTATGTAGACTTCTGTAAATAGCCTGACATTTGTAAAGCTTTTTAAATGATGTTATTACAGCATGTACCGTGATACCAACACGTAATGTCATCTCACCTCTGATAAAAAAAATTCTGACACCCAGAATACCTTCCACTGCAGACGTGATTTCTATACACTTGTACTGCAGGCCTTGGGGTGGCCTCAACGGAAGTAACAATTCATACCATCCACTATTGGACAACTCAAGCTTCAGGGCCACAATTTGTATTCACGATTCAATCCCTTTGCATAATCTGCAGTGGTGTGTTAATATATAGGCTACGGTGGCATAAGCATATATTAAATAATTGTTAACACATCCAGAGATAATTATTGATCTTATTCGGTGAATTGTTACATCCCTTGGCCAATGCATGTTTTTTGCCAGCAACGCCTCCTCTTTCCATAATGTTCCTGAGCACGAGTTCAATCAAACCATGTTTCAGGAGGTTGCAAACCCAATTCCACCCATTTGCAGTCTAGGCAGTCAGGTGCCCTTTGCCACAATCCACATTAAAATCACGGGTGACCCACGGTGGCACCCCTCCGACTACCAAAAGTGCGTTTCCATTGTCAAGTCACAAGTTTGTCCAAAGAAGCGCTTTAATGAAATTAAAAAATAATTGTTCCAGGTACAGTAAACAAGATCCAACGTGTTTGACCATTACAATTCACCGATCTCCGGCGCGAAAAACATTTTACAACTGACCCTAAAAAACCACGGAAGCAAAGCACATGCAGCAGCAAGGAATGTTTGCCTTGTGGGAAAATATAAAGTGTGCAGTGTTTCCTTTTCCTGTGCAAGACACCCAAAAAGTCCCCATAGAGCCAGCCACCAAAACACCTACCGGAATGTCCAAGTCAGGAGAGAACAGTCCTCTAGTAGTGTATAAAAAAATGGCGTAAGCAGAAGTTGATTACAGTGGGGGGGGGGGGGGGGGGGGAGCTGGGACGGCTGGCACCCAGCTCACACTTTCTTTCCCTCGAGGGATTTCACTTGGACACCCAACTTGTCAATGATGGCCGAGCGGGAGATGTCTTCCAGTCCATTCACCTGCCACACATGCTTGACGCCTGCACAACGAAACGGAGGAAGCTTTTTTAACAATAATAAAAAATTGTAATGCAGAGTATTTGCTCACTCTCGTCGAGAATAACTCAGGAGGCACGAACAATAGCCAGAGCTCTGCAGTCCTCTATATTAAAGGTATTATTGTCCAATGAGTGTTTATATATGGGAGGAAACTGGAGCACCCAGAGAATGCCCACGTATAGGAGGTTACTCTCCCACGTTTTTCCTGTCCTGCAGCCAGGGTATGACACGTCGATGCCCACGGGAAAGGAGTTTAGCAACATTTGTGCGCTCTAACAACCTCTGCTTCCAGTGCTGGATTACACGCATTAGCCACCACTGCCCAGCTACACACATCCAGTGAATTACACCGCCAAATCCCCACCAGAGTTTCATGTACTGTACTATCAACGAGCTCTGCTCGTTACAAATACAGGATGTGCTGTCAACAACGTTGAGATGTTTGGCCTCGTAAGAAAGCTGTAATTACCCACATACTGGAGCAGATCAGGTTGCAGTGACTTGAGACCTCGGACATGCCTATGTGCAGTGATGAACTCACCCATGTGAACCTCTGCTGTACATGCACGTGTCAACACATGCACGTGAACCATCTCTTATTGCGAGCACGTACCTGTGAATGCTGCCCTCAGGTTGTTTGTGGAGGAAGCGTACACCATTTTTTTCTTTATGTTAGCGTTTTCAGGTGCCCTAGAAAACATTTGAATTGCACGTTTAATGACGCCGTTTTAAAACATAAAAAACACAGACGTGTCATGAATGACTTCAAAAGTTTGTCACGACGAATGTAAAGATCTGGTAAGTCAGGAAAAGCTGCTCTTGGGCCTCCTTTTTTTATTAAAACATTCCCCCCTCAATTTTTTTCCCAAATGTGCTATCGGTTCAGGGAGGCCTTCGACCAGCAGCTGCTTGACGAAGGCCAATGATGATGTGCTCAGTGCCATGTGAGACAAAGTATTTGGATCTCATCGGACAGTGCAACCCCCCCCCCCTCCGTGTGTTGGAGAACGGCCACGGAAGCAGATATTGCAGAGCCTGAGATGCTTTCAAATTACCCATTGTTTCACATGGTAGAGGGCAGCACTTTCCCAACCACTCTGCCATAATGACGGTAACGTTTGCCTTCTGAAAGGACAGGGGGCCTTACCAGAAGATGAACATGAGCTCCTCCTTCCTGCTCTCACACGTCTCGTAGGAGATGTCGTATAGGGCGTAGCAGCAGTCTTTTTCCGGCAGGAGCTTCACGAATGTGTTGAAGGGATCATCCACAGTGTCGCCGATGTCGCCCACCAGGACCTGTTTCTCCTCGTCGACGACGATGAATTTTCCACATTCGCTTATCTTGAAGAAAGCAATCTTCTTTCTCTTCTTCACGTCGTCTGCAGAGGACGACTTGCGCACCTTCATCTCGTTGAACACCTTCAGGCAGTCATCGTGTACCTTAATTCCGGATGCCTGCGTGTGGGGAGGGCATGGAGACATCGCGGTTTCATCACGGGCGAACACATTTGCAGGCACCTGTCAATTGTGTCGCTGCAGGTTCGGGCAGAGTGCCGTCGTTTTAAACGGCGGCGTGGAGATGTCTGGTCGCGCCGTGTTTTAGACACGTGCTCCTGCCTGTCTCTCGACACAGCCAGACTATGCAGCAGCAGTAATACCCATCACTGTGACGTGCAACTCCATCCCCCACTCATACCAAGCCCATTTAATTTAACATGCGATTGCGAAACAGGTTTCAAACCGCTCATTGGTAGAACTTGCCAAACGTCCCATTGCTGGGCCCCTTAATTAAGTCAAGTCATGAGATTTGGTGAGGCTTTCCTGGACAAGGGCCATGATTACGGATTCAAGTCTACCCAGTGGTGAATTGGTTAACTACACAGGTGACCGCAAAGGTTGAGTATCCAGGTAACCACTCGGATGAGTGCCTCAGGTGAGCCCCTCCCTCCCACCTGCTTGGGTGCGCCCTGCCCCCGCCTCCAGGTGTGGTCTCACCTTCCTGGATGACGTCACAGTTCGTGTCTGCCAGGGCCAAGCCGCACATTCCACAGCACCACCACCCCCCCCCTCTACTCGCACACCCCCCCGGCCTCCTTTAGCCACACCCTATACAGTACCTTTACACACCACCACCTCTATACTCTCACATTCACACACACACCTCTATACTCTCACATTCACACACACACCTCTATACTCTCACATTCACACACACACCTCTATACTCTCACATTCACACACACACCTCTATACTCTCACATTCACACACACCTCTATACTCTCACATTCACACACACCTCTATACTCTCACATTCTCACACACACCTCTATACTCTCACATTCACACACACACCTCTATACTCTCACATTCACACACACACACCTCTATACTCTCACATTCACACACACCTCTATACTCTCACATTCACACACACACACACCTCTATACTCTCACACACCACCTCCTCTGTACTCTTTCCCACACCACCTCCTCTATACCCTTACCCACACCACCTCTGTACTCTCCCACAACACCTCCTCTATACCCTTACCCACACCACCTCTGTACTCTCCCACAACACCTCCTCTATACCCTTACCCACACCACCTCTGTACTCTCCCACACCACCTCCTCTATACCCTTACCCACACCACCTCTGTACTCTTTCCCACACCACCTCCTCTATACCCTTACCCACACCACCTCCTCTTCTGTACTCTCGCTCACACACCTCCTCCTCTGTACTCTCCCACCACCCCACCTCCTCGGCACCCTTTCCCAATGGCGGAGCCAGGATTTTCAGGTCGGGGGGGGGGGGGGCACAACCCCTCCAGCAATGAAAAATGATAAGAGTTGCTAGTAAGTAAGGAGTTGTTAATAAGTAAGGAGTTATCCCTTTTTATTCGACGCGTGTGCAGCGATGGCGCAGCCATCGATCGAGAGTCGAATTCGAACCGCGTTGTGTGATCGGCATCGCGCTCGCTGAAGGTGTTGATGCCTTCAGGGAATTCGTGTACTGTATACACAACTGCGCACAATTCTGAGTCACTTATAACTGCGTTGCCATTACTTATTGCCAATTATGGACTCAGACTATTGTCCTATCATCTCATAGAGCCCCTGGCACATAATAATATGCTACACAGTGGCAGTAGTGGTCGCAAAGTGCCGATTTAGTCCGAATAAACCCCAATGATCCGATCGAAATTAGGGATTTCGATCGGATCATTGAAGGGGGCACGTGCCACCCCACCCCCCTACTGGCTCCGCCAGTGCTCTTTCCCACACCACCTCTTCTATAGTCTTACCCACACCACCTCCTCTGTACTCTTTACCACACCACCGCCTCTATACTCTTAACTACACTTCTACCTTCGCACATACCTCCTCCAACCCCTACACACCTCCTTCCTATGTGTTTTTAACTTATTTCGCACCGTAAGTCGCCAACCGTGCTAATTTGAGGTGCGGGGGAAGGCACAACTAAACACAAGAAGCAATTCTGAACAATTCTAAAAATAAATTTAGTTTTTTTTTAATTTACCCTCGCACACACCCCGTCTCCCACCGCACCTCCCGTGAATAAACATCCCCCCCCCTCTCTCTTAAGACACGAACCAATGACATAGACCCCCCCGTACATCCTGCTCATTTAAAGCTGAGTCGACTTAGGGGAGACCGAGGACCGAATCAAACATTGGCTACCGCTCTCGACCGTGATCGGGAATCCTCCTCGGGTCGCCGAGGTCGTAGCGTGGAGCTCTAACCACCCCTCCTCCCCCCTCTTACCTTCACGCACAAGTTCGACACGTCTCTACCAAGATTCACTACAATCCACACCTAACACACCCCCCCTCTCCGCTTCTCACGCGTGCAGCATCTTCATATACTTACACACAATTTCATATTCCCCCCCGCCACACCATACACACTAAAGACTCCCCCCCCCACTCCTCCTGCTCCCCTATAGCCTGTAACAGACTGTAGGGGCAAGTGCTGTTAGCGAGCACCTATGAAGGCCGGCACGGCACACGAGGGGGTGGGCGGCCAGCACCACGCCCGACCGCCTTTGTCTCCCCCACTCTGGCGACGTTTACACACCGTACGAGGTACTCATTCGAGGCCGAGTAGACCGAGGGGAGGGGCCCAGAACCGGTTCACTGATGTTGGCCGTGAGCGGGAATCGAACTCGGGGTTCTTAGCGCAGCGGCTACACTGCCGTCTCCCCTCTACCCACACATCCTCGCACAAACCCCTCCACCTCTTGCAATCCTTCCACCCCCCACACACTCCAGACAGGTAGGCGACGTCGCGGCAAAAGTTCGTCCACAAACTCGGCCGAAGACCCCGTGGCGCTCGAGAGCAACGGGGAGTCAGGGGAGGAGGAAAGGGGGGGGCAGAGGGACGGGGAGACGCGGGGGAGCCTGGACAAGTTGTCGTGGGGGGTGGGGGGGGCGCAGAGTGCGGAGAGGCTCGCACGAGTTAACCTCCAGCAAGGGGCAGCAGGCAAGGTGGACTTTGTATTGAGGGCAGCCGATGAGGCCGGGTGTAAAGGGGCAGCCCACGCGTGGCATGGAGGGCATTAAAGGCAGGTGGGTAAGGGGGGCCGAGAGGCAGCGGGGGGGGGGGGGGGGGAATAGCGAACAGGCACGGGCCAAGTCAGCGCTCGTGTCGGGGCGAGAGAACCAAGGTGGGCGACAGGGAGCAGAGACGAAGTGAGGAACAGGTGGGAGCAGACAGACCGGGCCCGTGAAAGCAAGGCAGATTGGAGCAGGCGGGTCAGGAGAATACGCTGGGTCAGCTCGGCAGCTGTCCGTCCGGGTTGCGTTCGCGAGCGAGCCCGGTGCGGGTTCAGCGTGGGAAGCGCGGCCGGGTTAACAGGGTGCGAGAGGGGGTAAGCAGGGGCGCGGAGAAACGGAGACAGCCTGGGCCGCCGGGGGGAGGCGGACACCGGGGAACGGAGCGGGGAGAGGAGGGAGACGAGTGAGGGGGACCCCCTGGAGCCGGGAGCAGCAAGGGGAGCCAGAGAGGACCCATCACGGGGGGGTAGGGTGAGAATGGGATCGCGGTGGAGCAAGGAGAGCAAGGGGGACCAGGGCCAGGAAGGGGATCAGTCGGAGCAGAGGATGGGAGCCGCTTACCATCGCAGCTGCTGGGATCGACGATCGGGTTCCGAAGGGGGGCGGCACCTTAACCCCGCCCACGATGTCACACGCGCGCGGAACGTGACGTCACATCCTCACGCGCGCGTGACGTCACATCCGCATCGACGTCGTTTGGTCGAGCGGCTTCACGTGTTGGGCTGGCCGGAGACTTTGCGGCCGCCGTGCCGAGAAGCGTTGCAAGGGGGAGGGAGGCGGGGACATTTAGGGAGAGAGGGGGGCGGGGGGGCAACGCGTGTGGAAGCGAAGGGCAGCGCGGGAAGCGCGAGCCTGTGGGAAGCCCCCGTCCCATGGCGGACGTTGCGTCATCTCCTCTCGCACGCGTCCTTGCCTCAGACGGCGCGCGGCATGCCGAGATGGCGGCTTCATGGGGGGGACGGGGGGCGCTCTCCCTTTGCCTCCGTCGCGCCGCGTCAAACTTGCGGCGCGAGGGGGTTTTTCACGGTGGATAGGCGGGCGACCCTCCCGTGTTGGGCGCGGCGAAGCGGTGCCATTGCCAACAATGGTCGCCGAGCGCCCCGCAGCGAAACTGAAGGCGACTCGAGACATCATCGCCTTATATGGGCACGAGCGTGGCGCGCGCCCCCTTTCAAGTCATCGCCTTGTTTGGGCATAAGCGGCGCGAGCTCAGAACCAAGCACCACCCACTCGCCATAGGGTCCCGCCCCCTCTTCGTAGGGCTCCGCCCTCATGTTCTTTGGCCCCCGACCTCGAGTTTGGCTATAGGCCCCGCCTCTTTCATTTAAACCCCGCCCCCCTTGGGTGTAAACTCCGCCCCGTCGTTGAGATCCGTGCCCTTTAAATGTTAAAATTTTTTATTGCAGGTTTTCTTTGTTACTCAATAGCTATTATTAACTAAAAACATCTGCACATATCCGTTTCTATATATAAAAAAGTATTAAATCAGCCGCCACGGCCTTCTGAATGTAACAATTTCTGTAGCATTGCTTCAAGACAACCACAACTCTGGACCGGGGTTTGACATAAATGTCTCATCAGCAGTCAGACTTGCTTGAATCAATGCTAGTTAGCTGCCGATCTGACAGCCAAGGACCCTCTCTTCACGATATGGCATTTGATAACCATATTCCGCTTAAAAAACTGATTCGAAAATTAAAAACATTCTCATTAAGCTTCACGGTGTAAACGAGTGCAGTCTCCAGCCATTATTATCCTCTCCGTTCAACACGAAGTAAGCTTTCGCGACCAATATCCATAATATAGGTTTTTTGGGTTAGATCGCGTAAATATCTAAATGTGTCGTTAAAAAATCGACAAATCTGGCTGTTGCCTGATGAAGCTGGTTGTAACTACTGGCGAAACGTCGTACTCACATTGTCAATGTTGTGGCTTGACTCTCCAACACTAGTGACGAATTGGCATGTTCTGTTTACGTGACAACCCTTACTAGTTGGCTGTGTCGGGTGGTGGCGGATTTTAACGACATTTAAGCGATCTAACACAAAAAAACTATTACAGATTATCCACTCCATCATTCTAGCCTCAATGTGCTATGAAGAAGGGCCATTGCCTAAAACGTCTATTTTTCCTTTTAATGTCTGTTAATGACGTGTTGAGTTTCGTGTTCTTTTGGGTATCAACGGACGGGACTTGCTTTGCAAGGTGGGTGTGAGCGTTGGGCAAGGGTGTACGTGGACATAAGGTCAATCAATGAGATATGTAATCAAGGCCCAACGTTCATTTGCTTTAAACAGGTGAGCACTTGAGACAAGAACAGTCATTTTAAAAAGTGCCTGGGTCACCAATGTGACAAACGCAAATACAATAAATTCAGTCCGTTAAGTCTTCGTTTAACGTTATAGATGCGTTCCTGAAAAGTGCCGCGACCAACGCGTTAATCGAAAAAAATTCCCCATAAACGATAATTTTTGGCGAGATACGATGTACGCACATACAGTAAGATGACGGGACATAACTGAGGATGCGCCGCTGCCCCATTATCATTCCGCGTAGTGTATTAAGCCGCTCAGCTGTGCAGCTCAAGAAAGTAGTTTGTCGTCGACCTCTCAGAAACCGCGTTATAATAGGCGCGTTTCGCGTTATAACGGTGCGCTTTCCACATTATGCGAAAAGTGTTCTCAAATGGAAGAACCACATTGTTGCGAAAACGCGTTGTGTGAACACCGCGAGTTAAGCGATGACTTACCGTACAGGAATTAATCAAAGAGAAAATGGTGCAAAGACAATTGCATCACATGATAAATAAAATTACATTGCGCGAACATAAGTCAATGTTAAATCGCGTATAATTAAGTTACGGGCACATTAAACAGATATACTGTGGAAGGTAACGTGTGCATCGTGGCTGCACCATAGAGATTAATAAAGGAAGCTGCATAGTTGGGCTCAAAATAATTGCGAGCAAAATGAAATATTCACATATATAAGTTTGCGTAACAACTTAAGATATTTGTCACATCTGGAGAATAACAGAATGTGTGTACTCGTGTCATTTACTCCAGGCGGGCTGTTGTGTCCCGAATGTAGTTGATACACCGCGCACACATGAATCCCGGTAAGGCCAACACGGCTTGATTGACAATCACAGCGAGGCACGTGATCCACCGGTGCAGCACGAATGACCAGGTACAGGTAGCCATCGTGGTCCAAGAGGCGTTCATTTGCGATCGAGCGATCGGAAAGAAGAATGTTGCGACCTGCGAGAGAGGCGGTCGAACAGCGTCCTCAAACATGGGGAGGAGAAACCCAACGAGTGAATTGCACGGGGACAGTAAACGCAGTGGGTATGTAGGAGCGATAGGAGAGTAATGAGGAGGTGACAGATCGCCGGTGAGGGAGTGTCTGGACGACTATCAGGTTCTTATTTATTTATTTCTGATACGTGACCACAGCTAGTGTGCCGCTCGCTACAAGAGATGCGAATGAAAATATATTCTCGAGATGTAATTATGCAATTCGCGCATTTGGAATTTGACTGGAGGCAACAGAATAGAACCCCCTCTTACCCCCACATGGACGCCTGTGGCCCAGGAGGGAGCTGTCCGCCCTGAGAGGGGGTGCTGACCACTCCACGCCCTTCTTCCTCACTTCCCCTCTCTACAACAACGGGACATTTATCTTTTTAAAATGCTTGCATCTTGTAGATGCACACCAGGGTCGCGTGTCTCGACTGTTCGACGCGAGTTTGAGGCGTCGTTAACGAGGGTAGAAAATGATTGAGATAAGAAAGAGGAAAACACGTGGATTAGGGAACATACGAAAGTTAGTGACATCATGTGAACTGTTAAGGTAAGGGAGTGAGCTCGTGCAATAATTTTAGTTAGAATTGTTGATGGTCGGTTTTGCGAGTCTCAATAATGGAGCGATTGGTCTCGAACACGCCCGAGGAGTCATTAACCGCGGAGATAGAGCGATGAAATCATCGCATGTATCGGCTCCAGATGGATAGCTGCATTGCGAGAAAGACCTGGGAGATGGCGACGGCTTGAGGAGGCGGCCTCTAGCCAGCAGCGGATAGATCACGGTTGCTGTCACAAAGACAAATATTCTCTATATAGCCTCAACAGACTGTTGGGGAAATTGCTGTTAGCGAGTAAACTATGAACGCCGGCACGGCACACGAGGGGGTGGGTGGTCAGCACCAAGCCCGGCCGCCTTTGTCTCCTGGTGGCGAAGTTTACACAACGCACCGGGTATTCATTTGAAGCCGAGTCGACCTTGGGGAAGCCCAGGACCGGTTCAGATAACCGTCACTATTTTTGGCAGTGAACGGGAATCGAACTCGGGTGACCAGAGTTCGTAGCGCAGCACGCTAACCGCTACTACATTACCGCTCCCCACACACGTGAGCTGCCGCGCTCTGCAGACGCAGTGTGCGAGTTACAGTCGGGTTGATTAAAATTCTCTCCTCGTGCGTCCGCGGCTGAGGGGCGGTAGTAGAGAGATCAGTGAGCGACGGGGGGAGCCGTAACACAGCCAATGGGAGCCACGCCTCCACCCACGCAGCCTCGCTCGCTCTAGGACCCCCCTCGGCCCCTCAGTGGGTCCCTGAACCAGGGATCGAGCAGCGGCGAGGGCAACGGCAGCTGCCACCGGGAACGTCCCAGCTGCGGTTTGCCACCCCTGCCAAAGGGAAGGATGCGACGGCCCGAGGCATCGCCCGCCTCATCCTGACGTGCCGACACAGGTGCAGGCGGGGGAGAGGGTTACAGGAAGGAGCCTGGGTTATGCAGTGAATTGTACCGTCGATTAGCACAGGCGGGAGCAATGGAATCGGTGCATCTGCAGATGCCGGGTGGGTTATGTCGCAGGATCGTGAGACGTGGCCGCAGCTTGCGTGGGCCTTCATCCAGCAGTTGATTGACCACGCCCCGTTAATGATAATGATGATGAAATGGGGACAATGCAATTGCAAATGTGCGAGTGCAAAATGCTCACTAATGGAAATAGTGAGTGTGGGACCCCCTTAAAAAAGTACGATGACTCAATGAGGTTCTCCTAGATGAAGGGCATTGTTATTTTTACAGCATGTTGCATTATATTGGGGATGGAGCGGTGGCGCAGTGGTTAGCGCACTCCACTACTAGCAACCTGAGTTCAAATCCCGGCCACAGCTAACATCGGTGGCGAGTGATATCTGCGTCGGTCCTTGGAATGCACACGTCACCAATCTGCACTGACCAGCGTGGTGAAGTATGGTACAGCAACCCCCATGACCGACACGGCCTGGGAAGGCCTTCGTCCAGCAGTACATTAATTGACCAATGTATGCGAATTATATAATGTATGCATATATTGTCTAGACGGACTGTTGTCAATGGTCTTGCTGCTGTTGTTGTTGCGGGTCGCAGTGAGAGTGACTCGACCTCTGATCCCCGAGTCGAGCCCCCTCCGTATCCTCCATGGACATCCCCGTGTTGAACGCCGCCGCTGGGCTACCCAGCGCGGAGCAGGTGAGGGTCAGATGACTCCAGGTGAAGGCCACGTGAACGAGGTTGAGGCTCACCTGGTGCCCAGGCGAGGGTCACGTGGCACAGGTGAGGGGTGAGATGAAGGAGCTGACCGGGACCCCCTCCTCCCGCAGGTGCTGGACCCGCGCGTCCTACAAGGCCCCGAGATCGCCCGCCCAGTTC